AGCCATAGCTGAGCACAGAGTTGAAATATAAAAAATGGTTGAAATGTGTTTAACAATTGAGATGTGTCTGAGACAAGTCATTTTAATAATCAGATTATCTGAAGAATCCTATTTGGTGTTAAGCTTTGATATTTAATTATTATAGTATTAGATATGATATGTAATCTTAAATCATAACATTTTATTTTGAAGTTTGATGTAATCTCTTGGGATTCAGAGAAAGAGAGCATGAGAAGCAGAGACAAAATTTGTAGATGTTCTTTGTGACCTGTTAAGAATAGAGATTATTGAGAAAGAAAGAGAAAAGACAGGCAAGTTGATAAGAGTGAGAATAAAGAAAAGGGGCGTATCAAAGAGTGTATATATTGGGATCTGCTGTTCTGATACCGCAGATTCGCAGCTGCAGCGCCACACTCTACACCACATTTTCCCATCCAAATTAAATTTCCAATATCTATCACCGTTAATCTTTATATCATCTCAACTTGCCTTTTCTTTATATTTTTCTATCTTTTTAAACAATTCATTTACTATATAATGTTTATTTTATTTTATTAAAAATTTTCATGTTGAAAAATATCAGCAAAAATAATGATTGGTAATATTTTAAACATATTTACAAAAGAAGCGATATATATATATATATATATATATATATATAAATTAATTTTTAATAATTAATCTTAAAAATTGACTCCAACATCTTAAATAAAATAATTATAATTTATCTTATTAAAATGAGATAAGTTCTACCGACTAAAAAATTGAATCATTTTAAATTTATTAATAAAATACCTTTTACTCTTGAATTGGTTAAATAATATAACTATTTTATATGCTTTATTATTTTTTTTATAGATGAATACATGTTTTTATTTTTAAATAGATAAATAAATAAAAAATATTATTTTCTTGTTTATACTTTAACAAATTTCTATTATTTATTTTGATCGTAATTCATACAATGAATACATAATGAATGTTTTTTTTATAATTTGACATAACATCTTAAACGTTAAAAAAACTGAAATAAGATATAATATTAAATTTTTAGAAATTTTGATGAAAAAATATATATTAATTTTAATGATGTAGAGTAGTGATGAAGTTAAAAAAGAAAAAGGTGACAGTAAGAGGAGTATGAATTTAACGAAAAGGGGAATAAAAAAAATGATAACGGAGGGTCCCACAGGAGTTGGGTCCATGGGGAGTCGAGAGAGACCCAATCCAATGCACCACGCGCCGCGACAGCTATAAAATAACGCAACCTCTTTCCACCGCTCTCTCTAACTCAAAAGATCACAACACAGGTTCAGAGAATTTGCGTCAAGTTACCATTCTGCCCTTGCGCTTCGTAGAGGAACATGGTCATCGGAACACTCAGATCATCATGGTTCGTTGTTTCAGCTTAGGCTCCGTTCTCGTTCTCGCGGCGCTGGCCGCCTCCATGGTCGTTCTTCCGCTCATGCTTCCGCCGCTTCCTCCGCCGCCCCTCGTTCTTCTCTTCTTCCCCGTCGGGATCATGGCGGCGCTCATGTTGCTCGCGTTCTCGCCCTCTGAGGCCGCGCAAAACGTCGGCGTTTACGCCACGTAGCCAAATTAGGAACCGGAGGCGTCCATCGATGCCACATTTTGGGGTTTCTAGAATGTTCCGGGCTCTCTGGTTCGTTGCTCTTTTTTTTTATTAGTTACGGTGTTGATATGAAAGGGAATTGTAAACCAGAAAGGTTAAAAAAAAAAAATTAGAAGGGAAGATTCATTGTATTGCGGCATAGAGAATTCCATTTTTGCTTGGTTAATTAACACTTTCTCACTTTGTTAATTTAAAATAAACTTTGACTAATTTTCTGATTTTAATATTCGACCTAACCAAGTGCCTGAACCATTTCTACGACCTCGATGTCGAGTGTTGATTTTAATATTGTTTAAAAAACGCGTTCGGAGAACAATATTTATAAATTTTACTTCCTATTTTGTCATTTTAGGATTTTTAACAATGGGCGAAATGTAATAAGACAGCAGAATGAAATATTGTAAATGGTGGATTGATCTTAAATGAGGGAAAAGAAATTTGATTAACAATGGGCTGAACGTAAGCATAATGATTTCATTTGCTTCATTGTTCACTGATCTTGATTTTGCTGAAGCATTTTTAATTTCTTATCTCTTCTTTGTAACTTTTTACAGTGATTATATAATTTTTTAAGACAAATAATCTTCAATATTAATATGATTCAACCGTTAGATTAAAAATTGTTAATGAATAGATTAAGTTAATAAAATAAATTTAAATTTGATTGGCATATTTTATTGTTACTCTCAGAATAGTTCTTAATAAAGTTAATTTGCTTAATTACTTTTTATAAGATATTAAATTTTTCAATTTAATAGTTATATTAAAATTTATTAAAAGTTATTTAAGAAAGTAACTTTGTCTAGACCTATTTTGGAAGTAACTTATTTTTTACTTATATTATTTTCTTTATCTTTTTCATCATTTATTCATCCGTTTTTATATTTTTTTATTTTCTTATTTTTAAGAACTATTTATATTTTTAATTAGTAAAGCTATCGATTTTAATAAAAATTAACAAGTAAATTTTTTTACTACCAAATATTTGAATTAATTGGTTTGGAAATCGAGCTTAATAAATAAATTATATTAAATATTTTGAAAACTGAGTTTAACAAATGTAATGATATTAAATACTCTTGAGACTGAGTTCAATAAATATAATAATGTTAAATAGTAGTTTACTCAAACTTGACATTAAATTGTTATTAAATTCGTGAATCAACTATTTAGGATATTGATTGTAATGAACTAATAATAATTGAAGGTGCAAGAGTGAAGGACCAAAAAAATTGTACTAAACGAAACTTCATTCTGTATTTCTATATTTGTCTCTTCTCTTATTTATCATATTTTAAGATTTGTATTAATGGTAAGGAAAGTTGAGAAGATTACGAGATTGTTTATTTAAAGTTAAAAACTTATTTTTTTCGAATTTTAATAAAAAAATAAATACTTTCAGAATTTTAGTAAAACTATACAATTTATATTATTTTAATCATATTTAATCACATAAAATTATTTTTATTTAATCTTAAATCAACGAGTCCTATATTCACCCTGCGCAACTCAATTTTTAATTAATAATTTTCAATTTTGTAAACGTACTCTTTTTAGATGAAGATAAAGACTCAAACGCCGAATGCTATTTGTGAGAAAACGTAATCATTATATTGCTCTAAGCGAGATATTAAATAACTGTTTTAATTTTGTTAGATTGAATAAAAATATTTATTTCAAAAAATAAAAACTAGAAAATATGTGTAATGAACAAAAAAAATCGAAACATGATATAGAAAAAGAAAAGAAAAAGGCAAATAAGTATGTAATATATACAACTAATTATTCATATATATATATATTCTTTTATTCAAAATTAATAGATGTTGTATTTATTTTCAATGAAAATAATGGGAAAAGGTAGTGTGGGGAGAGAAAAGGAAAACTAAAATAAAGTAGAATTTAAACGTGATCAAATACTCCAAGACCAAGTCTCCAACCAAAACTTACTTCAATAGTTGAATTAAGGCTGCTAGAGTGTTAAAACGAAATAACTATGAACAAATTAAGAACTTTGACCTTCTTGATATGTATATTGTTATGGATCAGACATCAGTTATACCTAAAACAAAGACAGAAAAATATACATATCAATTTATGACAATTTCGGCTATCAATTTGAATAGAAAACAAAATAGAAATGTTTAACTGTCTAATAAATAAATCACAGAAAGAGTAACAGGTAAAGATGCACACGTAATTGAAAAAATTGAAAAGTAAATAAAGGTTTTATTTATAAGAAAATCTAACAATAAGAATGAGGTGATAATTTAGAATAATCTTAAAAATGCTAATAATATATTTATTATTATTTTGTCCATACCATAATTATTTTTTATTGGAAGTAATTTTAATCGAATTATTATGAGTGACAAAACTTTCCTTTTAAGCATTATCTTAAACAACTATTGTCATTTGATTAACATGTAAAGTGATATTTATCATTAATTCTATTGTAATTTTTAGTAAATTTTTATTTAATAATATTTTAAATTAATATCTTTAAAAAGGCAAGACCCAGGAAAAATAAATATAGATAGACAATTATTCATCATTGAAAAAAAAAACACAGAATTATTCCTCACTCCTAAAGAAACAAGAATGATATTTGTAGTTTCTAAACTCCTAATCGAACACAGTTGTGAGATAAAATTCAATTATTAATGTGAAAGTTTTGTTATAAACAATCTGTAAACATCACTTTTGTGGGTGTTTGTGTGTAATTGATGATGCCCACTTAAGATTGTTTTGTCAACCGCAGTCAAAACATACCTGCCGTTCTCCACTTGTTTTGTAAGCACACAGTGAAGTCTTCATAAGCATGAGACCCCATTGGCTGTGGTCGTTTATACTTAGCATCACAATTTGACAACTCGCCAGCTTTGAATGGAAGATCTTTGAATAGTGGAGGCTGCTTGACCTTCCCACACTTAATAGTACAACCAAGTTTCCATTTTGTGTCCTCCAAATCCGACAACTAATGAACTCAACTTGGATGAAATAACCTGTCAATTTCCTTTCTAGATAAAACCTGTTTCTTTGTCTTTTGTTTTTAAGGCACATTTAGGTAAACAATTTTAGACTTCTATTAATCCATGTTCTAAACGCACAAGTTAAAATATAATGAATAATAGTTTTTTATTAATTTTCTTGATAAATGCAATTTATTTTTATAACATTTTCTTGAAACAAATTTTTAAAAAATTGTCATTTTCAAAAGCGCAAGTAATAAACTCTTGGGGACACCCACCCCCTTCTTTAATTTCCCTTTCCTAGGATAGTAGAACCATGCTTGTCACATTCAATTGCACCCTAAAAACATAGGCAAGGTGACAGGATAATAAAATTAAAGCATAAAACCTCAACTAACACCTAACACAAACAGATTGTCCCCTTCAAAACCATATTTTATATTTGATGAATGGGGTGCACGTACATGATTGTGTTACAATGTCCTTCTATTTGACATCACATGTGATACACTGCAAAAAATGTCGAGCTCAAAGCTTGCATAAATATCATACAATTTAAAACCTTTAAGAGGCAAAATCATATGAATTGGTTAGCACTTCAGTTCTGTCCCAGTTAGGCTACCATTACACCAGACAGCATATTGCAGGATCCAGGAACTTCAACTATGTCAAGTGATCAATACCCTTTATTGTTTCACATATCCTTTTCAATAATATCCCTCATCATCTGTATTGGGATAAGTCCTTCAGTTCGAATAGCATCTTTGTTTGGATCAGGACTAATAAAGAACAAGGTAGGCAACCCACGAACCTGAAATTCAAGTGTTCTTTAGAAAATGTCACAATCCAAATTTCAACTGAAATATAAAGCAATTGTCAGATTGTGTCTAGATCTGTTGCCAATAGTCCCCTTTGAGGCTCTAATCTAGGCTTGAAGTTATCACAGTGGACATAGTAATGCAAGATCTAAACATTTATTGTTATTATCTTGAATAAATAAACAAAATTAGTACCTATCTTTTTTTACCCCAACTTGTTACAGATATAGGTACAGAATAGGACAATTTTATAAAATGAAAGATACAAATAAGCTAATATAAGTTTAAATAATATAAATAAAGAACATAAATATTAATAAATTGTTGTGAAAACATCTATAATAAAATAATTTACCTCATTACACATCTCATATGTAAAGATGAATGAATTTTATTAAATAAAGAAATAAATGAGAAGATTGAAAGAAAAGTAAAATAATCTCTAAATTTGTTAGAAAAATTATATTTTTTAAAAGAAAAATGCTCTAGCCAATCTTTAAGGTATAAGTATAATTAGCACCTTAAATCATATCTAATCTTATTAAGGTCATATTTATGTTGCATACAATTATTTAATAAAGAAAACCTAATTTTGATAAGTACCCAAGGGTATTCAATGTGTGCTGGTACCCAGTATGTACCAACTTGCGTTTGATAAAATGATGTACCTGTGCTTTAGAGCCTGCCATTTTAATAAAAATTCACATGAATTTTTATGGATCTCTATTGAGTGTTTGCATATGTATGTGCACATTGTAAACAAAAATAGGCTAATTACCTGCATGTCACGAGCAAATTCGTACTCGTCATCTGTGTCAACCTTAACAATCAGTGCACTGTTCTGGTACTCAACTGCAAGCTGTACAAATTTAAATATGAATGGTTATTTCTGAGCTTTCAAATCAACTTCCCAACAAGACAAACATTGAGGGAAATACAGCGGAATTACGAACCACCCTATCAATTGAAAGTTGAAGCATGTTATCCTTTAAAAATTAAGAAAACAAGACAAAGTCTGCAAAAAGCTTGTTAATGTTAAAAGTCAGTATGACCATAATTGGCAGATCACAGGGAAAATAAACCTAACAATTATAGAGCAAATTCAAGATCCTCAGATACTTAAATTGGTGCTAACAGTCAGAAGATAAGTATTGCAGCCAACAAAATGCACCAACATCATTATTATCAGAATGCAATTTGTCCTGTCCCTTGAGTTGCGTTCATCAATGTATCTCTTCTAATGATAGTAAAATAAAAGATTGAATATAGGCTACTAATTATCATTCAAGTTATAGCTAACAATCATTTGATATTTCAGTAAAAACTAATTTGCTCATATACTGATTGCAAAGTTGTATTCAATGCTTTTTAACTTCATTTGTAATATATGGAGAACATTTTTCAAACTCATTACTCATGTCACCCCTCAACTAAATGACAAATGATATACCCACTCATGTAATCATTTCTCTTCCGTATATAATCATAGATTTAAGAATAAGGTCTGCATTAGATGATGAAAAATTAGCTTTGGTCTTCTCAGATCAAGATCTTCAACATATGATGATGCAGAAACAATTTTATAATTGCAGCCATTAAGATTCTGAAGGGATATAGTAAAAAAGTTACAATTCGATTACAACTATAAATTGGTAAGCATGGCATGGTAGTTAAAACCCATTAATAAACAAGCTAAGGCTCATGCAGCCTAATTTCAGATATGTTGAATGATTAATCATCATTTAAAAACTACCAGAGGCTCAACCTCCTTCATTTAGTAACGACCCTGGATCTATCAAGTTATTTTTTAGATCATTCTCAAAATCTATAGATCCGAAATATGACACAAGCTCCAGATCTGAGCATGTTTTGCTGCTCTGTATGCAACCATAACTCCTGCATGTGCATCTACTATTAATACAATCATTTGCAATGAAAAAATATTAAAGAAAAACATGTTTAAAAGTCATGAAAACATCTTATGTTTCCTGCCTACATGGAAGAGCAGCAAAGGGCAAAGACTGTATATTAAAATATCAATCTACTGGCGGCCCAGTTCTCCATAAAATTTAATGTTCTTAATTATGTTGCTTGTCCACAAATAATCTTGTTACCCACACATGGATCACTTTTGACAATTTTGTTCTTATGCTTGGTCATTATCTGGATGAAATGCACTATATGGCTCAAGTATAATGTTAAATGTGTTAGTCACTGCATCGACACACCGATGTAGTATTAAATGAGCAAGCATTCTGCTGGACAAACATGGGTAAAGAGTTCATGAGTACTTGATTAGATTTGATTCTAGGAATACCATGATTAAGGTAGTCAAAATCGAGATTCTAAGTAGGATCGGAGAGGAGATGAAAAATCGTAACTCGTAGGATCGTAACACGAATCGGAAGATTCTACAAAATTATATAAATACATGTAAAATAGTATAAATATAAAGACCAAAGGACAAATGAGAGAAGTGAGCCACCCCACCTCAAAACAGAGATACTAAGAACAGAAATAGAGGGGGAATAGATAGATTAAGTATTGTATTCTGATAAAAGACTATTTTATCCTTAAAGAAACTTAAAACAGAGCCACTTTAAGGGTAAAAAGGGAAAGCCAAATTATTTTTAAAAGATGAGAAGTCTTGTTTTTACCCTTAAAAAACCCTAAAATCTGCTTCATAAATCCTAAACCCTAAAGACTATTTTATCCTTAAAGAAACTTAAAACATAGCCACTTTAAGGGTAAAAAAGGAAAGCCAAATTATTTTTAAATGATGAGAAGTCTTGTTTTTACCCTTAGAAAACCCTAAATCCTAAATAACTTTTACTCCAGCCGCACAGTGAATTAGGCTACGTTGGCTGCAAATACAGCTGCGATGGCCACCACAGCAAAACACTCCACTATGACAAGGTCGCCGGTGCAGAGCAGAGTCGCTAACACAGACAAGGTCGCCAGAGCAGACATAGTCATCAAAGCGAAAGCTATTAGGATCGCAGAACAGAGGAACGAAGTTGCAAAGTCCTGGTCGCGTCCAAAAATGGTGAAGAGGAGATTTGAAGGAGAAAGGGTAGAGAATGGAATGAATAGATTCGTTGTACTGAGGAAGAAGAGAAGTGCACTTCGCAGGTTGCAAAGAGGCAAGAAATTGGAGAGAGGAGTGAAAAAAAACCCCTAACAATAGGGCAGAAACAAGTCGCCTAGGATCGCAGATTCCACGATTTCACGAGGAAGATTGTGCGATTCCAGAGATCCCACCAAAACGAGTTCCAGCCCAAGATCGGGATCGTTGGACCTGCGGCAGATCGTAAAATCGTACGATTTTACGTGTTAACTCGCGATTTTGACTACCATGACCATGATTCAATGAAAAGATTAACATTATATATCTTCAAGAAACTAAATGAATTAAAGAAAATGCTAAGGAGCTATACAAAAACTTTAAACTTAGGTACACAAGGAAAATTAAAGGAAAAAATGGATTAAGTATTATTATGGATGAGAACTGAAAAAAGAAGGTAGTAGATGTTAAAAGGAGTGGGAACATGATCTTATCTTTAGTTAACGGTTGCATGGATAACTATCAATATCATCAATGCTTATGTCTTATATGTAGGTTCAGGAACTCTTTTGAAAGAAAAGTTTTGGAAGGCTTTGGTGAGTTAGTTTAACACATTCCACATTAAGAAAAGATTTCATAAGCAGAGATCTAATCGAACATATTGGTACTTGGTTGCATGACACAGTAATTTATAGGAAATCTCAATGGTTATAGCTTATGAGAGCTAAATGAGAAAGGATAGTCTATTCTTGATTTCTCAATGGTATATGATGTCAAAATTAGGAATACTTGTTCTAAGAAATGGGAGGAACATCTTGGGGCTTTTGAAAAAGCTTATAAGAATAATTTGACCTTAACAAACTCTTTTAATTTATTCTAATAAGTTTCTTGGTATAACTTATCAAAATAAGTTCTTTCTATCTTATTCATATAAATTTCATGATTAAATTTTTCATAAGCTCTCATGTGATAAAATATATCAAATAAGTACTTAATTAAGTTAAGCACCCCTTATCACTTATAACAGTGAACTCTCACGGTAGTAAATTAATTTATTTTTGGTAAGGAGCACAGTTAAGAGTTTGCAAGGATTGCAAGGTAATTCGTTATTATATAACATAGGATGTTGGTTCTTGATACTTCATTTTAAGAGTCATAAATAGGGAATCCAACTAGTTATAAATCCAAGAATCTACTGGTGCCAACTCAAAGGAGATAAACAGTTAGCTTTTAAGAAGAAATTATTGGAAGAAAGTTATTGGACAACACAAAGTAATGTTAACTTCATTTGGACTGAGATGTCTAAAACAGTTATGAAGGTTGTTAAAGCAGTCTTGGGGTGAACAGTGAACCTAGAGATTTTAATTTCAGAGATAAGAAATCTTTGTGATGGAATGAAAGTGCGGAAGAATAAGAGACAGAACATAATTTATGGCCTTAGACAGGTGCACGATCCAAGGCCTTTAAGGAGTTTTATAGAGATCTTAGGATAAAGAATAAAAAACAAAAGATATGTAAGTTTACTAAAAGTGGAAAAAGAAAATCAAGAGAATTGGATCAAGTTAGATATACCAAGGACGAAGACTTCATTCTTATTACAAATCAAAATTTCAAAGAGAATTGGAGTTTTTCCTACTATTGTAGAATTGGAGTTCAAAAAATAAAAGAAGCCCTTAAGAGAATATATAATGGTAAAGTTATTGATCCTGAAAGTGTTCCTATTGAAGTTTGAAAATATGTAAGAAGATAGGATACCAATTGGGTCATTATTCTATTTAATAAGATGAAGTATAAGTAAATGTCACATGAATAGAGGATGAGCACTTTGTTTCTTATATATCAAGGTTGTCAAAACCAAGATTTAAGATTGTGTCAGAAGGGATAGTTGGACCAAAGGATTAATGAGTCATAATAGTCAACTAAAATGCAGAGTTATATTTAAACATGCACACAAGTGTGCACATACACACATATAAAATAGCATAGATAAGAAAAATGACCATTAAATCCCCAAAAAAAAAAATTAGATAATTATCAATTAAAAATTAGCTTGATTATGTTTTTGATCCCTAAAAAGTTGTACTTTTTTTAATTTAGTCTTGATAAAAAAATTTGTTAGGACTTAGTCCCTAATATTTTGAACCTATTAAAAAGTGGTCCCTACCATCAAATAAGTTCTGTGAAAACAACCCCTAGAAAGTTATATACACAGCTGCAGGACAAGTTTCACAGTTCAATTTTCAGGACAATAGAGGCTTATTAATTAGGCCACACTCACACTAACCAGAGCTTCAACCAGGTTACTTGAGCTTGTTCAAACTAAGCCATTTTTCTTTTTTTTTATTTTTATTTTTTTATGTAGTTTCAGCAATCGGTGAGACAGAGGCAACAAGGTGGTTTGGTTTGGGGGAAACAAGTTAACCCGAACCATTTAGTGGCTAAGCAGCAACAACTACAGGTTCAGAATGGAAGGCGTGAGTTTGGTTACAAGAGTATGAAATACAGTTCATTGTCTTTGCTGCATTCTGCATGGCCTTTTTTGCAACTTCAGTAACAAAACAATCAAGTACAGTATTCCGGATCCAGGTGGGTCTTCTAGGAAATAGGGGTGTGGCAGAACTAGGGTGTTTCTTGTTGGGGTAGGAGAGTTTAGGTAGGGAGCCTCACAACAAGTACGACACCACATTGCAACCTCAAAACCTTAAGACAATGGGTGCATGAGTCTAGCTCCTTATAGACTCCTAACTTGCCCATATCTCATTTCATGTGGAACTCAATTCACACTTGATTCCAACATTTCTGACTTACCATTATGAGATTCCTTCTTAGCCTCGCACAAAAACTGGTTAGTTATTAATTATTTCTGTTTTTTTTTTCTTTTTTTTTTTCATTTTCCTTGGAGTTATAGTTGTTGTGTGGTTCAATTTTGAGTCTAAGGTGTTCTTTTGTTTTCAAGTTGTACTCCTGTTCTGTTACTGGCAAAGGTGATTCATGCTTTGAACTTGAACATTGGTGACTAGAACTCTTCCCAAACACACTTCTGCAATGCCTTTCGAACAGATTAGGGTGAGTAGGTTTTTTAGTTTATACAACAGAATGTTTGAATTGAATAAAAATAGATTATTTTTATTTTTATTTTTCTGATTTATTTGTGTTTTGGTTTTGTAGGTTCAACAATTGGTGAGACAAAAGCAGCAGGGTGGTTCAATTTGGGGAGGCAGGTAAACCACAACCTTTTGGGGTAGAGGACCTTTTTGTAAATATTTGACATTTGGAGACTTTTTTGCAAATATTTACATTTAAAGAATAAAATATTAAAAATAATGATGACATGACAATGATGAGTTGAACTTCTGTCATTGAACTCATCACTCAACAGAACTTAGTTAACAATAGGGATCAATTTTCTATAGGTTCAAAATATTAAGGACTAAATCCTAACAAAATTTTTTATCGATACTAAATTAAAAAAGAGCAACTTTTTTTAAGAACTAAAACATAATTAAGCTATTAAAAATGAGATGTACACAACAAATGTCTTCCTTGACGAAAACATAGAGCATGGAGCATGCAATATGAGCATAGAGAGGGAATCATGCAACGACTAACAACAATGAGGGACACAGCAACAAATAAATGGAGGGAGAACTAGAAAGACTGCAACAACAAACAATGAGGGATCCATCAACAACAAAGCACAAATGCTAGAGTGAAGGCTCAATCTTTTGGGAGAGGGAAAAGGATCCAAGTGTTAGGGAGAGAGAACAGGTAGGTTTTATTGGGCAGTAGACAACCACAAAGAGGTTGAACCAAAGTGAAGCTTTTTCAAGAAAACAACTCTCAAACTAGGGTCTTTTAACAAACTATGCCACCCAACTTGGTTAACCTGCTTTAAATGTGGGTTTCAACTCATTTTGGAGGGAGCTCCAACAAGTTTGTGCTTATTGTGGTGTAATTTCCTAGCAAGAGTTGTGCTTTAATGCACAACTCTTGCTAGGAAATTACACCACAATGGCGTGCAACACACAAAAGGGAGAAAAAATTATTGAATTGTGTGCTCCAACAATCCAATGGGCGACTTTGACAGCATTGCTATATATTAAAACAAGGAAAGTATTCACATTTGTGTAACCTATAGAAGGATAAAACTTATGAGAAAAGGTTATTGAACATAAGTTAGGAGAATAGATTGAGATCGCAGAGAATCAATTTGGATTTAGGTCAATAAATTCTATTATAAAAGCTATTTATCTTCTACGAAAGTTGATGAAAAAGTACTAAAACAAATAAAGAGATTTACAAATGATTTTCATTAACTTAGAAAACACATTTGATTGGGTGTCAAGAGAAGTGTTAGGTAAAGCTTGGGAAAAGGTGTTTGAGCAACTTATATATAAGCTTTATAAGACTCGTATGATGAGATAACCACAAGTGTAACAACGCTAGAAAGAATAACTAAAGACTTTCTTATAAAGATAAGTTTAAACTAAAACTTGCCTTTGAATTCTTACTTGTTTAATTTAGTCATGAGTGTACTTATTCGAAACATACAAAAGATTATCCTTAAATTAATACTTTTTATGAATGATATAGTTTTGATTGAGGAATCAAGAAAATAAGTTAACTATAAACTTGAGTTTTAGAGATAGACTTTGAATAAAAGAAATTTTGCATGAGTAGAATTAAGAGGGGTATATGCATTGCAATTTTAGGAAGAAATACGATACAAACAATTTTAAGGTAAAATTGAAAATGTTGTCATACCATAAATTTCTAAGTTAAGGTATTTAAGTTCAATCTTACCAAATTATGGAGAAATTAATGATGTCAAATACACAATACAAGCTAAGTGTTTAAAATAAAGAAAAACATCAAAAGTTATTTATGAAAATAAAGTACCTATTAAACTCGAAAGAATATTTTATCAAACTACTTTACAACTAGTTACTCTTTATGGTAGTGAATGTTGAGCTCTAAAGAGAAAAAGAAAAAGTGAAGTAGCAAATATGAAAATAAAGTAAAAAATGATTGCATAAGATGTGATATTAGAGTGACTCATATCTAGGAGAAAATGACAAAAATTGGTTGTAGTGGTTTAGAAATGAGCAAAGAAAGTCACTGGAAGCACCAGTTAGGAGAGTGAATTGCACAGTTTTTATAGAGAAGAACATTAGATTAAGTTATTAAATGTGCAAATTTGGTTTTGATATAACCCAATAGCTTTGGATGACTCATGCAGTTGACCTTATCTAGTAGGATAACACTTTTGTTATTGTTGTAGTAAATTATTTCTTGTTGTAAGTTCTGACTTTGCATGCCACCTAAAGATAGAAAAGCCACAACTTACAGCTTATCCTTAAAGATTTTCCATACGATGTTGGAATAAAAATATGATACATTGTCACAAATGAATTTTTTATCATTCAATGCTCTCCTACTAGAAGTGAAGATCAAAACCTTTCACCTTTCTGTTTTCAACCTTCAATACATAGAATACCTACATATAATTTAGAAAACAAGAACTAGATAGCCATGGTCTCATGCAAAAACAACATCGAATCCTTATCCCACTAGGTGAAGTCAGCCATATGGAGTACAAAACATCATGTAGATGAGCCATGATATCATCCACATGGAGAAATAAACATCATAACAATTATTCAACACGACTAATGATAAACTCCAACATGAGAACAATGCTCTAGGAATAGATACATCATAATTTGTTATGATCAGCTTAACCAGACAGATTGTTGAACCAAATGGAAACCCTTGATTTTGGGGACAAGGCAGATTATAATAAGTCAAATTCATTGTCATATTGGACAATTAAAGATGAAATTAATCATTTCATGAAATCAATTTGACAAATATAAAATGAAATAAAACTATCCATCATCATCCAATTCCTACAATAATGTTAGTTGCAAATAATTGAGCCAAACTTTGTTTACAATTGAATTTCCAACTTTGCAAACCAGCTGTCTACATAATTCCCTTTGGTATGGGTATGCAGTACATTCTATATAAAATATATGGTATAGGAGGGGGCCTACCCCTAGTTAGTACACTATTTAGGTTTTTACGGTATGTTTTAAAATGTAATTAGTTGGTATGTTATTTGAGTATATATGTAATAGTGTTTTTTATTAATTTTCTTTAAGAAATAACCTTTGAAAAGTCTCTTTTCTCATCAATATCAGAGTTCAGACAGTTCTGTTACCAAAAAGAGTTCACACTGTTCAATTTTAAACCTCTTTCTTGATCACTGTTAGCTTGCTTTTCCTTCCCAATTCATATGGACTAGAAAGATCCTTTCTTAGCTTTCATCACAACAATATCTCCACCTTTACTTCCCATTTTCCTTTCAAAAATACTGGAAGTGGCATCATCAGCCTTTCCATGATTGCAGTGCATAATCTTGCACCCCTTTCTTGCTACCAGAGAGTCGCAAAACCACGCTGAAAGCACTGCCTGAGGCTATGACAAGCTGAAATATCGAGCTTTAAGGTAACAGTGTTTCACTGTTTCTTCTGCTTGAATGTCAACTGTTGCGTCCAAATTGCAAATGACAATGAATTGTGATAGGTCACTCCATTGATAGTTTGTCTAAACAGATTACTTAGTTAATCTCTATTAGTTGGTTAGTTAGGTGAGTTAGTTGAACAAGGCATGTTGCCTATAAATAAGAGTGGAGACTAAAGAGGGTGGGTGGGTGAAAGGAAATTAGGGCCTTATGGCATTGGGAGGTGCAGACACTTGAAGTTCTGCAGTGTGAGTTTTGTAATTGGAATTCATCCCTAATTCTTCTTAATAAGATACCTAGTTCATATCAAATTGATAGTAAAAAGCACTATGAATGGAAGCATATGTTCCAGTTTAGTTTGTGGGGGAGAGGAGCATGTTCGGCAACTATGGTCGGTTTTACTAATAGGAAAATCTTTGTTAAATATTTTAAAGAATTTAATATACTTTTCAGTGAATGGAATTTTATCTATTTCATAATACAAGATCTACAAAATGATTAAAGACTCATAAGTCATCTTATACACTATCGTCTTTCTTGGCAGCTGATAAAATAAAGGTTAAAATAAACATTAAACAAACATTGAGCTTAATTGAAAGCTGAAACCAACATCAGGTAGGCTATGGCACATCCTCATAGTCAAATCAGAGCAACAGCCAAGAATTTTCAACATCAATTAACCACATACCATTTCAAGTTCTTGAGCCATTAAGATGCACGGTCCACACCAAGTTGCATAGAAATCAATAATAAGAGGCACTTTTCTTTCTCCCTTCACCAACTCTTGGATTTCCTGTGCTGACAACTTTTTCTGCAAATCCAAAATAACAAACAATGCCATTACTACATCATCAAACTTTAGTTTATTGAATAACAAGAAACCTTCTTTCTCTTTTTCTGCAAATCCAAAATAACAAACAATGCCATTACTACATCATCAAGCTTCAATTTATTGAAGAACAAACAAACCTTCTTTCTTCTTTTCCAGAACTCCTACAATATACCGTAGAAGCTATAAAGGCAACAAATAAAAAAATGATTTATAGTTCCTACTACTTATAAGAGGTAAAAAAGAATATATCAGCTTTTATTTTATTTTCTTAAAAGCAGTTATTAAATCATAAACACAAATCAATGGTTAAATTGAAAGTTTGATTTTTTTGCACCTTAACCGGAAAAAAACAAAAAAAAATGCCGAAAGCAAGATACAATGGTTATGTAGCATGAAAATTCACAAAAAAAAAAATGTTACATAGGACCCATGAGAGGAAAAAATAAGAGAGACAAAGAAAAAGTGAAGTATTTGATGTCGCATACCACAAGATAATCATCTCTGACATATTTCCCATTGGGTGGCTTACAAAGCAACTTTCTGGGCACTGTGGAGAGTGAGAGAGGGCTATTGTTGTTGAGGTGTGGGATTGTGGAGAGAGGATAAGGGTGTTGATTGGTTAAGGAGAAAGAGGGATGAGATTGAAAAACACAGAGAGGTTTGAAAGAGAAAGTTGAGAGGAGTGAGAGAGTGGAAATGGCGTGATTAGGGGCATGGCAATGGAAGAGAGCCATTGTTGCTTTTGCAGATTTGAATGTGTTAAAAGTGCATAAGAGTGGGTTTTGAGTGAAGGGGTTTACCATATCTACTTTAGTTTAGATGTCTCTTTGAACCGGATTCTTCTCTGTCAGTAAATGCCAAATGAGTTTATGTTTTGTAAAAATTAACATTTTTATTGTTTTTTATACAAATTATATTTTTATTTTCTCAAAACTACTATAATTATTTTTTTAAAATTACGTTTTTGAGAAATGGATTTAATTATTAAAATATTTTACACGTCTTTTAACAAAAAATTAAATTATTTAAAATTATCATTTAAAACAAATAATTAATAATTCAAATTTAGGTAACATTAATCTCATTTAAAAATAACAAATTGATGTGTATTTGGAAACAATTAAAAATAAGTAATAAATTAAATATTCTAACTAAAAATTTGAAACAATGATATCCATGGTCATCTTCATCATAAGCTGCGAGCCAAACTTACATATATCTGCCCGTCTAAAATTCATTAGCTAAATCAAATTCTGATATGGAAGCTCTTCTTTCATCATTGATGATATTCACGAATCAAGTTTGCATATTCATTAATAAAATTCACAAATTTCCACTCCCATTTTTCTTAGTTTTTGAACAATAGAAGATATAAAAATTGAAATCAAAAACTCAAATTGAGACGCAACAGTTAAGGATGGGTGGTGCACGACAAGATGAACCAAATCCGCTAGTTGTTGGTCAAAAACTCGCCGGCAGATGAAGGTGGCAATGGCGACAATAGGTTTGAAAATAATAAACTTCCGTTACCAAGTTAAACTGAACTTGGTAAATAATAATAACAAGTTTTTAATAGGTTTGAAAAATTAGGAATTATTAATAAAATTTTGATAGAAACTAAATTTAAAAATATAACTTTTGTAGGTATTTAATTAAGTCTTATTATCATTACGTGTGAAATTATTTATCTAATTTTAATTTTCAAGAGTTATATTGTAAACAAGTGGCCTTATTTTTTAAAGAAATAGATTATTTTATCATAAAAAATTATTTTTAACCTTAAACTATTTTTATGTAAATAAAATTATTTTTTTTATTATTTTATTTTACTCCTTAGTATACAAATATTCACTAAAAATTTAATTAATAAAAAAATATTATTCAAAAACTTATAAAAAATTATAAATAAATAACTTTTAAATCTAACTCGTTTAAATAAATAAGTCAAACAAGAGCATTATTTTTCTTTTTTACAAGTCAAGTTTGAAATTTAAATATTAATTTGACCTTACTTGTTACAACTTTAGTTGAGGCAATTGATTAGACAGGTGTTCCTGTAAAAATAGAATAAGAAAAATAAGTTAATTGACTCATTTATGTTGTCTTATAACACGTAACAAGCGTTAGTAAATTAGGCTAAAAAAATACTTATTTAATTTGAGTTGGTAAAAATAATTCCAAATAACTCTCATGTAGCTTGATCACATCTAACTAAAAGTCTAATATTTAATTAAGACTTAAAATGTAAAGGAAAAATTCTACATTTTATTAGGTACATTTGAGTTCCTCTAGTTAGACACAACTATTTTACTAACTTTATTGTAAGAGTATTATTACAATCAAATAGTTATAACAGTATAGCGAAAACGTGTTAAAAAAACATATTTTAAGAATAAAAATATTTTTTAAAAATCAAAGGAGTCGCTATTAAAGTTTATTAAAAAAATTTTAAAATTTTAAAATAATATAATATTGGAAACCAAAAAATGAGTTCATGAGAGTCGTTTACTTATGCAGGGAATGTACTATTACTCTCCAATGTTAATAAAAACATATTTTAAGAATAAAAATATTTTCTAAAAATCAAATGAGTCGCTATTAAATTTTATTAAAAAAAATTTTAAAAATTTAAAATAATATGATCTTTGAAATCAAAAAATGAGTTCAGGAGAGTCGTTTACTTGTGCAAGGAATGTACCATCACTCTTCAACGTTCATTTAAATAATTGTTATCTTAAACTAATTGTGCAAATTTATTTTAATTTTAGAAAATATTTATTTAACCTCTAAACAATGATTATTGTTTTTCTTATTTTAAAAGAAGACATTATTTATTAAAATATTAATTAGTATCTTCAAAAAAATTATTTTAAAAATTATTTTGACTCGACATGTTCGATTCCTGCTTCTATATATCTCTACGTGTAATGGAGAACTCAAAATCACATAGTTTTATCTAAAAATTTATAGAATTATTTTATTAATTAGAAATTTATAAGATTTTAAAAGAACTTATTTTAAAATTATTTATGTTTTCTAAAAAAATGAAATAAAATTTATTTATATCTTTTAAGATACAAGAAAGCGCAACTATACATGTTATCCTACAATGAAAAATATGAAAGATAAAGAAAAATTACACATCCATATTATAAGTTGTTGTAAAACATCAAGATTTTCGAGTATAATTAAAGTTGTTTTGTTTATAATATATATTTTTTATGCATACCAAGATAATAAAAGAATACAATCATGTTGTGTTGTATTGTGTCTCGGGGTACAATAAAATCATTTGTTTCAGAGTTATTCACGATGGTGCATAATAATAGTAAATAATATGGCAATAAAGAATGAATAATTGATTATATATTGTAATTGCAACAATAGAATGCATTTTACAAAACTTAAAATTCATAAATTATGATATATCAAGTAGAGGAATGCAAACATTACTTTAAGTTAATGAGTTGATGGTAACAAAATTGGAAAAGATCTAATAATTAAGAAAACTTAAAAGGGTTACACAGGAGGACAAAAGGTTAAGAAACATAAAGATGAAATAAATGAGAAGTTAATAAAATAAATAGAGTATTAAGTTAAAATATTTTTGAAGTTAAAAAAAGGTTACTTTGATGTTATAACTCTTCAAATTCTTATTTTATTTGTAGACTATACTAGTGTATGGTTGAAGGTTATCATTCTGAGTCTTATAGGGGTAGGTAAAATGCTCTGTTGGATTAGCTGTGTATATTGCAATAACTTCTTATTATTTATTTTAATTGTGTCTTAGGAGTAGGTAAAATGCTAGCTAGATTGGCTAGTTTTTAAATTTTGTGATTTGGACGAGTTAGTATTTTAAGCTATTGCTTGTCATCAGCAGTTTGTCAATTCGATCATTTGAATTAAATGCTTGAAATGGATGCAATGGTACATTTTTGTTCAGTGATATTTTGCTATAATTTTCCTTTTAATTTTATTATCTATTTTAAGCCTTTTATTATTTTAGATTCCACTCCCACTTGTACAATTGGTAAAAAGTGTGCTCACATGTTAATGAATTTTGAATTTAAACATTCGTCGAATGATTTTTTTTATATAGTTAACACTGTTGATAAGCTTATAATGTGCACAATGTTCTAGTATTGCTTATATTTTAAGTGCTATTTTAGCTGCTAATTGTTATTGTTACAGAGACAACACTTAAATACTGTCATATGTATTGTTGGTGCTGGTTTTTAGTCTGAGTTGAAGTTTCACTTCAATAACCTATATATTGTTGAGTTTATTGAGGTAAATCTTCAACTCTAATTCTTTATTATGAATATATAAATTATATTAATTTTAATTACTATTTTTGTTATTGTTTCCGTGATCATGATTTACTTTCCTTAACAAGGAAACATAATTTACATATAATAAAATTACAGTAAAAGATGATTTTGAAGTCAGTTATAGCGGCATCAATATCACTAAATCTATCACGCTGACAATGAAAAGTGTGCTATCAATAATCCCAAGTTAATTTGTTTTCGTGGAATTATGAATAAGTTAATCATAATGAACATTGACATATATTTTTAAAAATTACAAAAAGTTGATTCACATACACAAAATAGTAGAAAAGGATTAAATATATTCCGTATATTTTGCATGATAGAAAGAAGAAAATTGAAAAGTATTTAATATATATTTAGGAAGTGATGCTAAATTTGAGAGAAAAAAGTAGTGAGAAAATTCTATACAGAAAATTTCACAAAAAGTTTGTAATATGTTAATTTTAGAGTGAGAAAAAATTATTAAAAAAATTAGGGAAAATCAGAAAGAAGAATTTTTAAAAATGATAATTTTTGGAGACAAAATTTTGAATTTTTTATTTTAAAACAAATTAAAGAGAAAAATTAAAATAATTTTTGTCCATATATATTTGGATTTTTAAAAAATATGAAAAAAATCTAAAGTAATTGTTAAATGAAAGGGAAATAATGTTGTTTTTAATGGTCAATCGTCTCTTTTCTTCCTCTTTCAAATTTTAAACATTTAAACAAGATATGTCTTTCCTTTTTTATAATTGCATTTATCCTATAGTGCTCATTAGCATGCTATGATTTGATCAGTTGCAAGAGAAGAGTCATCAAACTAATCTCAACCAACCGATATAGGACCTATGCTTTTAGATGGTTAATATTAAAATATTAATTTTTCTTTTAGTAAATTAATAAAACTATTAATGGCATTTAAAGTTTTTCCATTTTAATAGAACTTGAATAGGTAATTGATAATTGGCTAGGAAAGCATAAAACCATGAAAGGGATAAGATAAAAAAAGGGGAATGGACTTAGGTAAGGCTAGATGCCTTCTGTTTTCTTCATCTTGAATTTGTGTTAGCAAAAGTGTGCTAGAATCTTAGGGCTCTTTTTAAATAATAAAGGGATCAATAAACAATATTTAATATGTAGTTTTTGTGAGATGATAATTTAAGTGTAAAAAAATATTTTACTTATTTCTGCAACAAATTTAAACTGTCATAAAAGGCCTGTTACAAGATATTAAATTTGGCACAGTGATAGGGAATAATTCATTAAAAAAGAATAAAATGAAAATGTGTAAAACTGAGAAACTCTTTTTAAAAATGCAAATAAAATACTCTAATTTATTCTATTTTTTATTATTAGGCATAGATGTTACATAGTTTGTTTGATATATTTTTCATAAAAATGTTGAGACGAAGAGTTTGAATTTACTTTTCAATAAAATCAATACATAAATTCTTCTAAACTAGTTTAAGGTATTGGATTGGGGAATTGCAAACCTTATTGTAATGTAAAACTTGAAATCCCGTTGAAAAAATATATCTTATTATTACCACTGCCAAAGCAAAGCAAGTCCCGAACATGGATTAATCTCACTTCCAAAAGAGGTTGGGCATTTTGTGAACTTATTCTTCTTACTAATACAACTGAAGAAACATCCTTTGACTTAGTAATCAATGAAAGAGAAGGATTAAAGTTAGGAGAGATAATTATTATCTCTACCCTATATATGGTACTTTCTTCACTGGTTAGGTGAATTATAACTAGTTACTATAAATCTCCCTCTCCTTCAATATACCTTATGCTGATTGTGAACTATACACATAGAAACATGTGATCAGCTTCCATAATTTACCCTTAACTTCTTCCAATTCTTAATGAGGAATCAACACCTTTATTGACACTTGCAAATATCCTAGCAATCTCTAGCTGAGTATTAGCAATGATTTCAGTTCTCTTAAGATCCATTTCTCCTCTCTTTGCCTCTGCTTCAACTCTCATCCTCTCTATCTCTTTCATTGTGTCCATTCTTGTTTGTTCTGACCTTACAACCACTTCTGCTAGCCACCTTATGCTTTCGGCTATTTCCATGTCTTCTTTCCTTTTCCTCTTATTCTCTGTCTTCATCTTCCTCTTGTTGTGTCTTACCTTTTCCTTTTCACTGTAAAGTGCAGGAGTGCTACTATCCGAGTCCAATGGATTCTTGTTAGATACATGATCAGATGACTTAGTTTCTAACCCATCTTCCTATTTTTCACAAACATTGATATATTTATATTAGAGATGTTACTTCTACACTATACTTATACAACAGTTTATTCAAAATATGAGAGATATAGGAAGAAAATAAATAGGTGAAATATGTAATAAGATGAGTAATGTTATGAAAACACAAAAAGCAAAAAAATATGTTGTAAAAAATATTATATGGATAATATATGTACAAATTTTTAGTTTTTTTTAATATTATTTGAGTCAAGTAAGTTTTTTAATTTTAAAATTAAGCAAATTTATTATTTGTTAATTTTTTTTACTTAAAATCCACAAATTTTGTATTTTCTATTCAAAATTTTTACAATTTAAATTAATTAAATTATTTTCTACTAAAAAACCCCTAACGGAAACATCAAATTACATAAAAATATCTTTTTTTCCCCCTATTTAGACCTAATTGTGTTGTAGCTTATAAAACATTTTAAATTTTATTAAGTTTCTGCTAGATTTCATAGTAAAACGAATTAATAATTAATAATTCAAAGTAAAAAAACTTAACGGAAGAATCGCATTTGCTTAATTTTAAAAAAAATGAGAAACTTAAATTACACACAATCTAATTAGAGGGATAAAAAAGTATAATTAAACCAAAAATATACCATACCATGAAAAATTTAAAAATCAGGAAAGTGAAAGTTATTTTTTTATAAGGTGATATTTTTCAATTTGAGGGACAAAGAAAGGGACTGAGGGTCTCAATTGGAATGCCAACTTGTTTCATGACTAGTTTAATGTCAGCTTTGCTTACAAAATATGTGGTTAAAATAAATTAATAGGTAGACTATAGCTCCTACACATTAAGGCACCTACTTCTGTCCATTGCACTCATTTTAAATAGAATGCATTTATGGATGGAAAACTCAGGTCAACCAAAAATGGGATTCTGTAACTGGCTTATATATATATACGAGAATTCAAAATTTGTGATTGAAAATTTATATAAAATAAAATGATTTTTAGAACTCAAAACTCGTTAATAAATTTTTTAAAAATTAACTCATTTCCAAATTTCATGTTTTTAAACAAAAGAAAAACCTCAATAACTTTATTTCCGATATATTAATTATTTGACTAATGTAGTAACTTTTATAGTAATTTTCAAATATGATTTTTACTTTGTACAGATATTTGTCTCGCTTCTGCTTCAAATAAAATCAATCCAGTTCTCATGCAACGAAGACAATAAATTTTCAGAAATCATTTATTCTCTTCACTTGCGTTTGTGTAATTAAAATCTAAAAACTTGTTTTCTCTATCATACGACACGCTGCTTGATGCAACAATGATAGATTTTTCGGAAAAGTATATAATCAAGTTAAAGAAAATGACTTTCACGAGTCTTATGCGCAGTGTTACCCACACATAATTAGCATAAAGTTTTGAGCAATATAAGTTGTGTTGTAATCCCAACCTAACAAAGTTAAAAATCCTTGAGAAACGGCTTTGTCATGATGATGAAATGCAACAAAAAATAAAAAATAAAATAAAAAAACAAAAACTACCCAAAATGAAAAATTGTGCCTCATTTAATTCTACCTTGGCGAATCTTTCAACACCATTGGATCCATGTGAATTTTGTGCAATTGCAAGTGGTGGAGGAGCAACAGGAATATTGGGTGCTTGTGATGGCTCCAACAAGATCAAAGATTGGTTATTGGTAGGGTGTGGTGATTGAGAAGGTGCTGTTGTTGTTGTTGGTGGTGGTGGTGGTGGTGGCAGTGTTGTGGATATTGGTCCTGTCCCACGAAGCAGAACATCAAGACGAGAATACAAAGGCCAAGATGATGCATCTGCAGTGGTTGCTGACTCTGATCTGTACCTTTTCTTCATTGACTCAATCTTGTTCTTACACTGTGTTTGTGTCTTTGGTGATTTGGTAGAGTTTGCTCTTGATGAAACATATCTTGCAACGTCTTCCCAATCATGCCCTTTGAGTTTGGCTCTGTTTCTAAGCACCCATTTGGCCTCATAGGCCTCAAGAAGTGTTGACACAGCCCCTTCACTCCACTCATCCCTCTTAAGCCTATCACTCCCACCACCAATGGGTTTTCTTGGAGACTCTTCTTTTGTTGTGATGGTGGTGGTTGTGTTGTGATTAGGGAGGAGAGATGGGTGGTTATCATCTTGGTTCTCTGCTTTATCCTCCATCTCTCATCTCCCCATGTACCAAAACTTTTTTTAACCCTTTGTGTTTTTAGCTGCTAACATGCTCCTGAGTTCATGTGAGTCTATGAATAAGAAAGGGTAACAAGAGGGAGAGACAACCACTAGCATTAGAAAGTGAGTTAAGAAAAAAGAAATAAAAATTGAAAAATAGCAATAGTGGGTGGTGGAAAGGGAAAAAAAAATTGTTCACTTTTATCAAATAAGTTAATGATGTCAATCCCTTGTGGGAGAGAGGTGGTGCTTGATGATGTTATATAAGATTTAAAATTGCGCTGAGTAATTACAATCCTAGCTATAACATTAAACTTTTTAAAGTCTTTTAAGCAATGCTATTTTAATATTTTTTTTCTTACTAAATAAAATTTATATACCAAGGTAAAAAGAGAAATAACAAAAAAAGTAAAATGAATAACATTAGATCATGACAATTTATATTTCAATTGTTATAAATATTTTGAATAAAAAATAATCATCTTTAAGAATTAAGAAGAATAAAACTATTCTTTTAATTACAATTAAGGTTGCATGAGCTATATTAATCTATTGTGTTTTGATATAAAAATTGAGAAGCTTGTAGAATTGAGAAATGTAACTGGAATTTAAAAGCATAGTGTTAAGTGATAGTGAGGAAGGGTGTGGTTGGTGCTTATTGGGGGTGTTAGCGTTGATATGAAGCGAAGGAAGAGATCCACAAGGGTGGTGGTGGGTCAGTCACGTGGGTGTGTCACCCACTCACTCCCTCACTCACTCTCCTTAGATACTCATCACCAACACCCTCACCAATGCCCTCAAATTTCAATTCCCACCACCACCAGCCAATGTGCTACCATCACTCTAAACAAATAGCTATTGCTCTCTCTCTCTCTATCTCTTCTTTATAGGCCTCCCTTTTTCTCCCCTTGTCTCTCTCAGGTTGCACTTTTGTTAGCCATATTTATGTGCCTTTTGAAAGGTCTTTTAGTGATGCACAACCACTAGACCCAAAGTTACTCCTAATGCCTTTCTAGTGACGACTTTGCTTGGCAAATTGTGTTCAAGAATCATGCTAGGCCACGTCAATTAAACCAAAGATGGAGGGTTAATTTATTGGGTCATTCTATCCTAAAAGCTCCAACTAGCTTCCTATAGCTCATTTCATTTGGTTCTTTCTGTCCTTTTCTCTTTTTCAAAAATACTCATCAACAAGGATTTGAAAAGTAATTTTTAATAATTTTAAAATCAATAATATTTTACAAAAAAAATATATCAACGTTTATAATTTGATTTGTTAATATGATTTCTACGGTGATTTTTAATGAAAAAAATTATTTAATCGTTTTTAGCTCGTGATTCTTGTTAATGATTTTTTTTTTAAACTTTTTCTTTAACTTAAATATACAAGTCTTTTAGAACATCAAGTAAATAGGACAATGGGTCTTTTCATACTCTCCCTTTCCCTCCTTGTGACATCGGTCGAATAGATTGACTTAATATGTATATGTTTATGTTTGGTATCGATTCATATTCTCTTCTCCCAATCCTTAGAGAGAAGAAAGATTTGCTCAATGCTGTTTGCAATTGACAGATGATCGTGAACCTGTCATTCTAAGAGTAAGCCAATGCCATAATAATAATAATAAAGTGATGACGTTTAAATGAACAATAAATATGGTTAACTTTTTTTAATAAAAATTAAAATAATTATCATTTTGTGAGTTATTTTTTTGGGTTAAATTAGACTTAAATCTAAATTTAAAATAGTTAACACATTCTATTATAGATTTGATATTAAATCATCCTTAACTAAAAAAAAATAAAAGTCATTTAGGGATTTGTAAAGGTGATTATTAAGAATGCATGTTTAGTAGTATGAGTTTATAGCTGATTTAGGGATTTGTAACATCTTTTAAAAATTAACTGACAAAGTTATTTAACAACTATAAAATAAAAGAAGTTTATAATTTTATTTATTATAATATAAAAATATTATTTAAAAAATATTTCTTTTCTTAATATCAGTTATATATACGACAATCATGTAACACGTGATAATTCGTGTTTATTATTTATCTATATTCTAATTTTGCAAATAGGGTTTCTATTTTAAATTATTACTATTACTTACTATTAGATATTTTATTTTGTTTAGGATTATTTAATTCCAACTTAAAATAAAAATTATTAATTATTAGTATAATTTTTTTGTTATGTTGAGTTTATAAACAAGTCTTTTTAAATGCATAATCAACAACTTTTTATGACCTAGTTTAGAAGAACATCTTGTAAACACTCGATGAAAAAGAAAAATAAAGCAACATAAAATAAAATAAAATGAATCTAACTTTTCTTAAAACTTTACTTAACTAGTATAACTCAACATTTTCATAAGCTTCCTCTTCTAACTTCCTTATTATAAATTAAGATGTATAAATTGATTTGAACTTGTAATAAAGTTTTATTTTTTTAATTTTTTATTTTTATAAATATTTATTAAAAAGATTATTTGAACTAATTTGAAGATGTTGATTTTTTTTTTCAAACTTATATAATATTAAAACTTGAACCAGCTATAAGAACACTGCTCATTTTTAAGTTTATTTGTAAAATATCTTATCAATATTCTTGAATTACCCTACATCAAGTTTGGTATTTGAGGAGTGTCAGAAGCATCTTTCAGTAAAGTTTTAAAACAATAAAACTTTAAATTATTTTAAACACTGAAACTATCCATATTATAGAAATAATAAGAAATTCATATATATTAGTTGTGTTTTCTTCTTTCTTTTTTCGTCTTTGACCAAAAATATTTGCAAACAAAATTATGACACTAAGTGATTAAACATATTTTCTCCTAAAATAATGATAATAGGATAATAACTTAATATAACAAGAAATTCAATAAATTTAAGATGTTTGCTACAGTGCTTGTAAAACTTAAGAGGTTTTGATCACTTCGTTGAATAGACAAATAAAAAAGTAGTTGTAAATTAATAATCTGTATCATTACATCATCTGACTTCATCATTTTTAAAACAATTTTTTTTTAAAGAGTTTATAAATATTTTAAAATCCCAGAAGTAAATTTTCATGAATTGGCTAATTTGAACGATAAATTTGCAATTATTAACTCCATTTTTGTTAACTTTTCAAAGTTTGAGAGATTAATCTAAACCCATCTTACGAAATATTTATTGTTAAATGTTGAAAATAAAAAATATTGATTAAATTGTACAAAAGTATTTTCATGAAAATGTAGTTAAATTATTTATTTATTTTTAATAAAAAATAAAATTATATCATTACTTTAAAATCTATTTAAATTTAAATGTTATTGATTTAAATTATTTTATTAATTAATTAAATATATTCTATATTTAAATATATACTTTAAATACTAACATATATTTTTAGTTAAAAAAATTACATTTATAAGATTATTATTTTATATTGTATATTATTAAATTAAATTTTTAATAAAAAATAAGTAAATTATAATACAAATAAAATGATAATTTTTATTATATTAAATTTTTATTTTTTAACTTTTCATATATCACTAATAAGGACTTTATCTGTCTTTATATAAATAATATTTACATAACTTTTGAAAGCTTGCTCACAATTTGTTCTATCATCTTTCATTTTTTTTATATATTTTATAATTATATCAATTGTCAAGAGTTACTTATCCAAAGAAGTACATATATTTTTTTTATTAATATTTTATTATTTTTTTACTAAATTATATTCATGTATTATATTTTAATTTATTGAGTAAGCATAAATTTTTATTATTTTTAAGTGATACCGTGTATTAAATTTTATTTTTAATTAATTAAATTCTATTAAATCTATCAATATTTTTTTAATAAATTCAATAAAGTCTTATTTAGTGATATCAATATTTTATTTTAAAATTTATAAATAAAAAAATTTATAAGTATATTCAAAAAATTATCACGAAAAATAATAAAAATTCATGTTATAAATATTTAATTATTTTTATAGCACTCATAATATTTTTAATTAAAATATCTAAATCAATCTATTTTTTCTTTATTAATGCAAATTGATCATATTTATGTGTAGGTGCAATTTAAATTCATCACAAATAACTATTTATTTTTATGTTTTTTATACTTTTGTAAGAAAACAATAACTTTTAATTTTAGATAAATTGACTTTTTTTAACGGTTTGACTTTAACAATAGATGATTAAAAAATAAAAGTGTAAATATCATGATTATGTGATGCTCTAAAAATATATAGCAAGAAAGAGTTAACTAGCACCAATATGTACTAATTGATGAAAATGTATTTGTATTTGTATTTGTATTTTTTATTAAAAATATATTTTTTAATAAATTCTAATTATGTTATCTTTTATACATTATCATATATTAACTAATTTTTGATTGATTTATTTTTAATTGATTAATTTTTTTTATAGAGCAATTATATACATGCTCCAATAAGGAGAGGTATTACTCACAAGTTCAAGGGTATATTAAAAGAAAGAAAAATATTCTCTGTTGTCAAAGAATAAAAATATATTTGTTGTGATTAAAAAAAATATTTCATATTACAATTCTATGTTATTATTATGAAAGAATTAAATCATGATAATAGCATAATTCTTTAACAGGGAAAGATCTTCTTACACTAGTGTAAGTCTAAAAACTTTTACACATAATCTGAACCTTTCATTTAACTTAAATCTAACGTGTTATAATTTATTATTTTACTGACCATTAGATTTAAGTTAAATAAAATACTTATATTAGATGTAAGAATTTTTAGACTTATACTAGTATTAGATTTTGCTCTTCTTTAACATATTGTTGAATTTGTGAACTTCTAGAATTTGGAAAGTCGTTGTAAAATTAACTTCGTAATAAGTATTTAAACATAAATTTTTTCTAAAATTTATTATATAATTTATATTTAATTTATCAATTAATTTTTTAAATTTATTTATTTTATAAATATATGTGATTAGAGTAGTCATACATATAAAATATATTAAAAAAAATTGTTCAAGGCAAGGTTAATGTCATAATACTTCAACTGCAATAAATAAGAACAATTGTTTTAAAGTTAGAAATAATTATTAATTAGAAAATATTTTAATTTTAGTTGAATTATTTGTAAGAAAAATAAAGTGAAAGTAATACTGTAGAATAATTTTATTTTATTATTTAAAAAAATAATAAAAAATAATCTATTTAAAAAAATTAA